TCATCTAAAACTATGCAGCACATGAATGGAAAGTCAGTTGCTCACAAATCCGCTGCTGTGCAGTCTTTACATAAACAAAGTCATCAGGATAAGCAAATGCCTTCCTTCTAATTAGCAGTGTGTTTTGTGGTTCCATACATTCCAAAGTGTAATAGACAGCTACAGTGCCTAAAATAATCCCACAGAAAAAACTCATATGCCACAAAGATAGGGGTGGGAGGGAGAGGAGGTGGGAAAATCTGTTGTCTGTGTTCTTGGAAGCCTTTTCTATCTCCATTTGGATACTGTCAACTTCTTTTACACAAACATTACAGCATCCAAGGGGAATTAGAAATACTTACTCATGACCACAACGTCAGATCTTAGGTTTGTCAGGAGAAAGCCAATGCAAAAGCAGGATCTTGGACCTGCTGCTTTCATTTTGGATTTAGCTTGCTGATAAATGTCTCCTAATGCTGGAAGGAGGTAAGGCTGGCTCTCTAGGTGGAATACAGGAAATTTAAAAATCTTACCTCATAGACAGGAAAAGGTTTTTGGATCCATAAAAGGACTATGTAAGTCCTAAGTAACAGCTATTGTCTCTTGTGATGTCTCTGAAGTTGGAAAACAGCTTCCCTTTTGTACTAGTCTTTTATGAAATGGCTAGGGAGCACTCAGGGCAGAGAAACAAAAGAGAGATGCTACTGGTCAAATGGCTTTTAAATGAGATCATATTGGTCAAATTGAGCCTTTTAACTTCGATCAGATTTTTTGTGTGTGTGAATGCACCTTATTCCAACATCAGTGGGAATTTGTAAGGTGATATTTTTCACTGGTAGGTTTTCATAGGTTTCCATCCCAGCCTTTTGTGCACCCGTCTGTGCCATACCCAGTGTTGTCACCTCAGTGTTATCTGTGCAGGGCTAATGAAACTGGAAGCCCATGGGCTCAGGAGCCTGCATGGCCATGCCTCTGTATTTGCCTGGCCAAGGGGTCAGCAGTGTAGGTACAGCCTGTTCATATCCAAAACATCTGCAGGGCTCAGGTAGTTGTAAGGCTTGACAAGGCTTTCAGGTGGGAATGGCTGTTGTAACTCTTATGCTTCCATCTAACCCTTTCCCACATCAAGGCAGACTAAAATCCAGTTTATAGGAAAATGCCTTTAGCTAAAGGCCAGGCAGCTATACAGCAGGCATTACAGCTATAGGACAGTTGTGGTTTTGGTTTGTTTTTTCCCCCATCTACAAGTAGAATGTGATCCATATTGCCAAAGCCTGACAGCTCAGGTTGTGACTTTGGGAAATGAAAACAAACAAGCTGTGTCATACAGCTGCACAGTCTCCTTGGGGTGCAGATCTACTGGCTGGATGCAAACCAATGCAGTCATTCTGCCATGCAGAAGTGTGTACTGGTTCCTAACACTTGCACCTTGGCCTGGTATAGAGGTGAGAAAGGTGTAGGAGAGAGTCAGTGCTTTGAAACTGATCTTGAGGAACAAGAAATGAGCTGCCAGTATTTAATGTTGAAGATATTTAACTATTGGAACAACTCACCTAGGGGATGTGCCTGCACCTTTATGATCTGAAGTTGAGATAGAACACCTTTCAAAAGAAGATGCTTTGGCTGAATTGCCAGTCCTTGGGCTTTGTACAGGAGCACAAAATATCCAGGTCTGTGCTGAACATGAGGCTCAAGGATGGACAGTTGCTATACACTGCTCCTCTGCTGATGTTCTGCTCTCTGGGCCACCGTAGTGCATTGTTTTTGCAGTACAGCTCTTCACAGCAAGGTCCTAGCATGGCTTTTTGGATTCTCTGGCATACAGACCAATGCCCACCATACAGCTGGTGTGCTGACCAGTCACCCTCTCCACTGTTCACAGGCAGCTCCCTCACTGTTACTGGTTGACCATCTGAGAGTAAATGACCATCATGATTCCTTCTCTCCCCTGGCACCTCAGAAGCCCGCAGGAATTACAGCTGAAGGACAGTTGTGGTTTTGGTTTGTTTTTTCCCCCATCTACAAGTAGAATGTGATCCATATTGCCAAAGCCTGACAGCTCAGGTTGTGACTTTGGGAAATGAAAACAAACAAGCTGTGTCATACAGCTGCACAGTCTCCTTGGGGTGCAGATCTACTGGCTGGATGCAAACCAATGCAGTCATTCTGCCATGCAGAAGTGTGTACTGGTTCCTAACACTTGCACCTTGGCCTGGTATAGAGGTGAGAAAGGTGTAGGAGAGAGTCAGTGCTTTGAAACTGATCTTGAGGAACAAGAAATGAGCTGCCAGTATTTAATGTTGAAGATATTTAACTATTGGAACAACTCACCTAGGGGATGTGCCTGCACCTTTATGATCTGAAGTTGAGATAGAACACCTTTCAAAAGAAGATGCTTTGGCTGAATTGCCAGTCCTTGGGCTTTGTACAGGAGCACAAAATATCCAGGTCTGTGCTGAACATGAGGCTCAAGGATGGACAGTTGCTATACACTGCTCCTCTGCTGATGTTCTGCTCTCTGGGCCACCGTAGTGCATTGTTTTTGCAGTACAGCTCTTCACAGCAAGGTCCTAGCATGGCTTTTTGGATTCTCTGGCATACAGACCAATGCCCACCATACAGCTGGTGTGCTGACCAGTCACCCTCTCCACTGTTCACAGGCAGCTCCCTCACTGTTACTGGTTGACCATCTGAGAGTAAATGACCATCATGATTCCTTCTCTCCCCTGGCACCTCAGAAGCCCTACAAAGAGAGGAGATAAATGACACATTTGCATCCTGTCTTCCCAGGAGTCCCCAGACAGAGAAGGGCATCTGTAGCAGTGTGAATGATGGGTGAGGGAGACTTGTCATGAGCCTGGTCCATTTGTCATGAGCCTTCCAGTGTCTCTTGGCCAGCAGCAGCAGAAGTCACTCTCATTAAAAAAGTGTTAGGAATGCACCACTGGCAACTCTGCTAACAGTGAGCAGCTGTTCTGGTGATGCCCTCCTGAGATATGGCTCCTGCAATCTGAGCTGCTCCTTTTTTTCCACACACGAGTAATTTCCCAAAGTATTTATCATGGTTTTGGTCTTTGCCGGAAATGGGTTTCTTTTCTATGGCTGGAATAAAATTGCTCTGGATTTGGAAAGGCTGAGACTTCTCGCTCACCAGATGAGGGTGAAAACATGTGAAATGTTGTTATATCTTTCCCTTTGGTTTGGTTAGAGACTATGATATTTTAAAAACATTAGGTCTAAAAGTCTTACGTAAACATTAATGTTTTACAGTGGGTGTAACATGCCCACATGAATGTAGGTGCCACGTATGGTGTTTCCATGAACTTGAATAGACTGTAAATTGACAACTTATAGCAATATCAAAAGACCCTGCACTTGTATCTTGAGAGGTGGGATTGAAGCTAAATTTGTAACCTGTCTTTTCCTACCCTTTTTTAAAATGTGTGGCTGCCTGCTTTTACTATTGCAGCAATGGTTTGTGGCACAGAAGTAACTGTGTGCTAACTATGAAAGTTGGAGTGACTCATGGCTGACTGGAGAACTTTCTTCACCATGTTTTGCCTTCAGGACACTGTCACTGTAGCAGTGCTAGCAGCAGCCCCGCCAGGCTCCCCAGCAGTGCAGAAAAAGGCCAGAACTATCTGTTCTCATCACAAACACAGAGTGGTTTCAATGGAAAACTTGAGCTGCTGCTATTTCCATAGACATCAGCCTGGATCCATGGTAGTACCTCTCAAGGACTTACGTCTTCAATGTTCTTGGCTATTTTCTGCAGCTCTCTAAACAAAAATATCCATGTTCCAAATTCGGAAAGGTCACTGTCCTCAACCACAAATTTAATTAACAGCTTTCCCCTTCTGCTGACTTTTTATTTTATCTTTATTTAATTTTAACCCCATGTCCCACAGTAGGAGCCTTTAGTTTCTACTTCAGGGAGTAGATGCTTACACGAGTGGCCCTGGGGAAGTGAAGCTCAGTAAGTGATCACCAGTGGGAGCCAGGGTTGTTCATGGCATTACACCATGGAAGGCTTCTGCTCTCCTGTTGCAGACAAAATGTCTACAAAAACAATACTACTACTTTCCTAAATTCCTGCATTTTGCAGATGTGAGGCTCAGTTTCTACAGGGGAAGCCAGGCTGTTTCAAGGGGGGTCACAGTGCTCTGTCTTTTTGCTGCTGCTGCTAATTTTTCTGAGCACCATAGAATACAGTAGAAAATTGAAACTGTGTGAAAGATCAACAAATCAGTGTAGAATGTCACGCAGCAACATCTGTTAACTTTGGCTCTATCTCATATCCTCCTGACCCCTCCTTTCCAGCCACCAGTCTCCTGTTTTGTGAGAGCTCAGAGTGATAGGGACTAGGGGCAGAGGGGGGAAATGTCTCGCTGTTTCTCAGTGGTCTGAAGGGCTTTCAAAAGTACATCTGGAATGAAAGTTTTATGATTGTGCGTTTCTGTATTTTTAGTTATGAAACAAATGGGAATTTGCTGAATGAATTAATTGTATTGTGCTGTAAAAGTCTATCTTGAGAGCCATTACATATGGGAGCTTACAGAGCCTGCAGAGAGAAATGAAAGCGGCTTCCCTTTCTAATTAGGGCTTTCAGGAAATCATTGATTACAGAATCAAACAGGGTTGCTCAGAGACATTTGTTTGGTATTACTTCTGATAAATGAAATTTGTACCTAGTAATAATTTTACTAGTGATACTGGAAGCAGCCACACTCTCTCATGGTAAGCCTGCCTTCAATAAAACTTTCCCCTTTCCTTCCTACCTTGTCCAGACAGTTACAGCTAATGAAACATTATTTCCGATCTGTAGATCCCAGTAAAAAAAAATTAAATCATCAAGAAATAAGTGATATAGTAGATAGTATGTTCTTAATGGGATGGTCTTTGTCTGGACCAGGTAACTGATACAAGCTTGTTCTTGCATTGCATTTGAAAAAAGTCAAAACAAAACATTGACCCAGTATCCAGAAATGTTTTACCTTTTAAATTTTTTTTTTTCCTAACAGGGTCAGCATATTTCATTAGCTCCCATTCAAAAGGTAGAGGAAGCTTTGTATGAGTATCAACCTCTGCAAGTGGAGACATATGGACCACAAGTTCCAGAGCTTGAAATGCTGGGAAGGCTGGGGTAAGTAACACAGCAAGTTTTAATTCCCATTTCATGGCATTATCACTGGGACTGTTACCATCTTCAGTTTGCCAGCACACAGTTGGTTGTTGGGTTTTTTGTTGTTTTCTTTTCAAGCATCTTAATGAAATATTAGACTTCCTGCCTAACCAACATTTTGTTTGGGTGAAATTTTTGGTCCTCTAGCCTTTATAGATCTATTGAGAGCTGGACTGGATTGCATTAGTGTTTTTAAGGTTGTCCTTGGCAGTCGCAGTGAAGTAGCTGTTCATTTTCAGTTGCACGGTATTAAAAAATAAATAAATAAAAATCCAGGGCTTAATTTACCCAGCTGTAAGCCAGTAAAAATATTAAAGTTGGGCTGTTTGCCATCGAAAAGGGTAGATTTACTTGTCGACTGCTGTCTACAGTCAAACTGCATTTGTGAGAAACGAAGCACAGAGCTTAACTTTGTCAAAAAATACAATACGGGGCTGGTCCAGCAGTTGGTGACGTGGTGGTTTTCAGCCAGGTTTGGAAGGGAGTTTGGGAGCTGCTGTGCCTGGGTAATGGAAGCTGGGAAGTCCAAAAGTGATGTGTCTGCTCTCTAGAGACATTTATATGTGAAAACCCAACTGAAAATGTGTAGCTGCTGGGGTAGTCAGTGTCACCTAACTCGTCATGGCCTTACTTTCAAGGTCAGCAGCACTTGAATGAAGTGCCTGGAAAGCTACGTGGTGGGATGACAGTGCAGACTGGCAACACAAGAAAGAGGTTAAAAAAAATAAGTTTACGTTTGACTGTGCAGTATGGGAAAGCTGAAGCCACAAAGTTGAGACACTTTAGTATGCAGTTTCAGAGACCACTGAAATCCCAACAGGAATCCCACCTAGTTCACTGGCACAGGAGAAAAATGAATGTGGTAGATAGAAACAATAAAAATGGTGACAACCTCAATTTCAGACAGCCCTGAATTATCTGAAGTATCATTAGGTTGTCTATTTAAAAAAATAAATCTATCACTGTTATTTTCTATGTCCTTTTGATGCTTGTAATTTTTTCTCATCTGATAATCAAGCTTCTGAGACTAAATACTAATTAGCAGTTTAAATTGGGCAGAGCCAGACTCAGCCTTCACCACCTGTTAGGATGAAGCACAGCTGTGATGGACCTCCAGTGTGAGGGGGGCTTTGAGGCCCTCTCAGCTCTGAGAAATGCTTGCGGGGGGGGAGATGACTTGTGCAGGGAGGATTCCCAGTCCTTGTCCCTTTGCCTGTGGCTGTAAGGTGAGTGCTGGTGCCCAGAACCAGCAAGAACCCTGTGCTATCTGCATCCACCCCATCTAATTGCCTGTGATACTGGTTTGAAGGCAACCCAACACCTTGTAAAATGAGGTCCTTTAAATCCTGCAGTTGTGTTGCACCATTTGTGGGTGAGCGAATTTAGAGCAGGGTTTGGAGGCAAGGCTCACAGGTCTTGTCCTGGAGACACATGGACACACGTGTCATTTTACTCCTTTGACCATGAACAGCCACAGTTATCCAGCTTGGCTCTGGAGGTGATGAGAGAGTTAAGAGCAGCAGGGGTGCTGGGTGGCTGTCGTAGCAAGGGGAGGGTGGGTGGGTGGTGGTGCCCACCAGAAGAGTTCTTCTGCATCCTGAGGCTGTTTGCAGTTCCAAAACAAACATATGGGTGCTGTGGGTTCCCAGCTGGTACAACTCTAACCCGATTCCATGGGGTGTCTGAAATACCTTAAGCCGTGCAAGGCTCTTGGTTTTATATATTTGTGTTTCTGTGTTTATATGAACTCATGCGCATTTCCTGTTGATGATAAATGCTCAACTCATGTGCCTCTGTCCCTGCTTTGGGTTTTTTCAGGCAGCTGCAGACAGCTGCCTGGGTGAGGGTGAGGCCGAAGAGCTGGGCACCCTGTTATCCACTCCTGCTGTTTTTTTTTAGTTTCCTCTGAATTTGGTCTCATACGAGGGCAGGTTAAATCTAAATTATTTAAATTTTTTTGTTTGTTTCTTCCTCTTTTCATGTTCTCATTAATAATTTTGCAGTCTGGCTATTTATTGCAGCTGAATACTTCCCTCAAATGTGCAGGCTGTTATTATCTGAGTTTCTGGAGTCAGAATTATTGCAAAGACATTGCCAGCCTGGAGACTTTGAATTCACTTCTGGTAGTGTAATTTATTGGCTTCTTTTTAAAAGATACAGTTTATTATCTCCAAAACACTTCGTAGGATGGGCTTTTTGAATATTCCCATCTTAACCTCTTACCTTCTGCAAGATTCACTTTAGGCTTCAGCATCAGAGATGCTTTTCTTTCTTAGTAAACTGCTGTAATGAAGGAGGCAGCTGGTGAGGAGGTTGCCAGCAAAGAGCAAGAAAAAGGGTGAATCCTTAAGGGATCATTCAGAACATTTGTTAGGGATATTTTATAACAAAAAAAAAAACCACAACTGTTTTTTTTTTTTAAGATTACTTTTGTTACTTGCTCATTAGGCTTTACAAAATACTGTGTGCAGTCCAATAAACTAGATTCTGCATCCTCCTGCTGCTCTTGTGTATGGATTTTGCATGTTTTGCAAAAAGAAAAGATTTATGTTTAAACTGGTTTTGGAAATTTGTTTTCAGTGCCTCTTGGGGCTGTAAATTTTCTTTCTATGAACTGCAGAAAAGCATTAATATCCATATGATGCATTTCTTGCTGTTGTGCTGGGAGTCTGAGAATAATGAAGAAACAGATTTATTTTTGTTTTGTTTTTTTAACACAAGTGATTGGTATAATGTGTTTGTGTTTCTGTACTTCAGGGGGGCCCCCAGTATTTTTAATGGAGTAAAGTTTTCTAGAAGTAATGAACTATAGGCAATAATCCTCAATCACATGGTGTTTTGGGAGCAATATGTATTACAGAGACCTTTTAGGAGGGAAACTTTCTCAGAGGCAGCCTCTGGTAGGAGGTCCTGTGCCTACATGTCTCTGGGGTTCCTGCAAGAAAGTCTCAGTGTCTGTTGGTGCCATGAATACACGCTGAATGTGGCAGGTTGGTGATAGTTTGATGTGGGTGGCAAAGGTCTCTTTGGGTGCTCAGCCTCTGACGTCAGCTCATGCCTGTCTCAGCTGTCAGATGGAATTGGGACTTGGAAGGAAGAAGGGGAGAAGACATGGGTGAGAGGGTCTCCTTGGAGACCTGGTTCTGTCCTTGGATAAAAATGGGATCTTGGATCAGTGTAACATACCCACCTAGAGGCAGGATCTACAGCTGCCTTGTCCCTCTGTGAGGACTAATAGTCATGGGCTTGTGTGACTGGATGACTTGGTCACTGCTGTAAACTACTGGAGTTCTCAGTGATGTTCATTGGGAAATTGTTGGTTTCTGGGTGGAGTTGAAGGCAACCTGCTGGTGTGAGGCATGTTTGGAGATCTGTGTCTTATCAAAGTGCTATCACCAGAACTGGTTAGGTTGGGGTAACCAGACTGAAGTGGAGAGTGTCATGTTTTGGTTCAAATCAGTCCAAATCTGTTGAATTGCTGAGGCTGTGGTACCTACCATGGCTTTTGTGGGGCCAAGATGTGTAGTTCAGAGAGAATGAGTGCCTAGACACTTGGCCACTCACTGCCATTACTTTTCTTAGGGGGACAAAAACAGGCCTGTCTTTTTTTTCTTCTTCTTCTTCTTCCCTTTTTTGTCCTTTTTCTTTTTCCCTATTCTTCTAATGTTTTAGCTGAGCACACTGAATTTGTGTGGTTGGAGGTCTGGACTTCTCGTACTGCAAAACAAAAGAAAGACAACAAATTCTGACATGTCAAGTAGTGAAAGACCAAAACAGGATGGGGATGGAAATTAGTTTGTTGTTTCAGAGATGTATGTTTTTTTATGTAGTTTTGATTAAAAAAACAACCAAAACAAAAACAACTAACCCTGAAAAAAAATAAATAAAAAAAACCTGATCAAAAAGATGTTTGTTTGAGGTCCTGAAAAATGTAGACATTCTTGGCATTAATTGTAAGTATGTAAAGTGAGCAGGAGCAGCCAGACAGGGTTCTCACACCAAGTATTTACAGCTGTGGAAGAGTCATCCACCAGCTACTTAAAAACTGACTATAAATTGAAAATCTGCTTATTTTGGGTAAAGATGTGTGAACTCCATGTCTCAAAGTTTACAAACAGTGTCTTGTCTTGCAAAGTGGATCATACTCTTTAACACAGGATGGGTCCTATTCTCTCCATTCTCACAAAATAGAGATGATTTACAAGTAAGATTAAAAATTGCTGTTTGCACTCACTTAAAAATTCTCTGCCTTAACAGAGAACTTTTGTGCAGATCCTTGTAAAAAAGTCAAGCCTGAGTTGCTTAAAAGAAAATTGTGTTTGCCTACTTTGTCTGGAGAGGTACATCCTGAATATATACATGTGTATATAAAAAAATAATCAGGTTTGCTCCAGAAACCTTTGCTTTTCTTTCGGGGAAAAATGTGACTTCCCTTTGATCTATCAGCTTGTTTTCATGTAAAACCACGTTGTTAGGAGCACTCCAGTTAATTAGTGTTTTGTTTAAATAAGATGCAAAATATAAAGTTCAATGGTGAAACCTAATCTAATAAGCACAGGGAATTTACTTTGATAATTTCCAAGTTAAAACTAAGCAAAATGTCATTTGAAGAGTTGAGGGTAAGGGCTGAAGCAGAATCAGTACTGTGGAAGTTTGTATACACAACAAATGCCTTTTAGTCCATTGTGCCTTTTATATTTAACAACTGGCTTGATTAATTCCCCTCCCCCCAGTATAGGACAGCTCACTCATTTTAAATTTCAAATTAAGATTAGGGGACTGGATTTCATATCTCTTAGAGCTTTGTTAGCGTTTTAATTTTTAACCTTCATTTCAAGTGGAAAATTTCTGCCTATTTCTTGGTTGTACAGTGTTGTGTAATTTGAAACACATGGAGAGTTCTGGCACTTAATCTAGAAAAGGACTCCTGTAACTTCTTTACTCTCAATCATAGTGTTTTG